CCAGTGAGAGTCAGAGTGGAGGATGGGGACTGACGGGGCCCTGCCTCTCCAGAGCTGATGTTCCTGGAGACCAGCGCTCTCACGGGGGAGAACGTGGAGGAGGCATTTCTGAAGTGTGCCCGTACCATCCTCAATAAGATCGACTCAGGTGAGCCGCCTGACCTTTGTGGGGTGGAAGGCAGGACTGGAGGGGCTCCAGGGGACACTTCTGACCTCCCTCCATCCCATGCAGGTGAGCTAGACCCCGAGAGGATGGGCTCAGGCATTCAGTATGGTGATGCATCCCTTCGCCAGCTGCGGCAGCCCCGGAGCGCCCAGGCTGTAGCCCCTCAGCCCTGTGGCTGCTGAGACCTGCAGAGCCAGGTGGGACACCGGGGGCTCGGGAGGCAGTGAAGGGTCTCCTGGGAAGAGGGTGTATGGGACAGACATTGAGATACAGAAAACATGATGACACGAGAAAAAGGAACCAGAGAAAGATGCAGAATACCACCAGCTTGAAGGGGCCATCTTCCCAGCCACGGGAACCCACATGCTTTCTTCACAGCCAGGCCTCTGCCAGCCCTCAGCCTGGACCTGTCCCTCCCACTCATGGTTCTCACCTATGTAGTGAGTACCAGGAACTGTTCAAGGCTCTGGGAGACAGAAGTGGATGAAACAGATCAAAAAACCTATCTCTTGGCGATAGCATTGTCTTGGGAGTAGACAGGCAATAAATAAGATACATATGTAAAATTATATAGTGATTAGGGTGATAAGAGCTATGGAGAAAACAGTTGGGCAGTGAGGTGGGGATGGAGGAATGCACTGTTTTTGTTTTTGATTTTTGAGATGGGGTCTCACCAGGAACTCACTATGTAGCTCAGGCTTGCCTCACACTCATGATCCTCTTTCTTTCTTTTTGCGATACTGGGGTGTGAACTCAGGGCCTACACCTTGAGCAACTCCACCAGCCCTTTTTCTGTGAAGGGTTTTTTCAAGATATGGTCTTGTGAACTATTTGCTTGGGCTGGCTTTGAACTGTGATCCTCCTGATGTCCGCCTCCTGAGTAGCTAAGATTACAGGTGTTAGCCATTGGCTCCATGAGCCATTGGAACCTGGCACTCATGATCCTCTTGCCTCAGCCTCTAAGTGCTGGGATTACAGGCATGGGCCCTCTGTACTTCTTGCACAGGTCCCTCCTAGCCATTTGTGGTTCCAGGGCTGCGTAGGGGAACGGTCTGGTTTGAAGGCATCAAGATTTCCTAATGGAATGCTGGGGTGGGGGACTGGGGAGAGAGAGGGAGAGAGACCTGCTGTGCCTGGACCTGATTCCTTGTCTGTATAATGGGGCCAATGACAGTACCTGCATCCTATGGGTGCTGAGATTAAGGTAATTCATGTAAAGTACTTAGAACAGGTTCTTAACACTTGATTATTTTCCTTCTTATCTAGCTTAACAACTAGCTCAGTGGTGGAGTACTTGCCTAGCATGTGTGAGGCCCTGGGTTTTGTGTCCCCCCAAAACAAAACAAAACAAAACAAAAAGATTGGGCTGTGTAAAAATGGGTGTGTATTGTTCATCTCAGGGATTAGCATAGAGCCTCTTCTAGGGTTTGCCTCAGTGGGTGAAATGTGATCAAACAGTGCTTTTACAAACTAATGTCTACATTTTTAAATTTTTTTGGTACTGGGGTGTGAACTCAGGGCCTACACCTTGAGCCACTCCACCAGCCCTTTTTTGTGATAGGTTTTTTAGAGATAGGGTCTTGTGAACTATTTTGCCTGGGCTGGCTTCGAACCACCAGCTTCCTGATCTCTGCCTCCTTAGTAGCTAGGATTACAGGCATGAGCCACTGGCGCCTGGCTTGATGTCTGCCTGTTTATATGTTGATATAATATAGTCACATTGACATGTAAAACTCAAACACATGTTTTTTCTTCTACTACCAATTTTTGTGTGTGTGTGTGTGATTCTGGGGGTTGAACTCAGGACCTACACTCAAGAGCCACTCCATCAGTCATTTTGTGTGTGATGGGTTTTTTCTTGAGATAGGATCTCTCAAACTATTTGCCTGGACTGGCTTCGAACTGTGATCCTCCTGATCTCTGCCTCCTGAGTAGCTAGGATTACAGGCATGAGCCCTGGTGCCCAGTTAACCTTTTTGTTTTTGAGGTTGAATTCACATAACAAAATTTAGCCATTTCTCTCTTTCTTTCTATCCTGTACTGGAAATTGAATCCAGGGCCTCACTCTTGTTAGGCAGGCCACTGCAAGATGCACAGTTCAGTGATGTTCAGTATATTCACAAAGTTGTCCAACCATCTCCTCTATGTGGTTCTAGAACCAAATTGTTACACTGCAGGGGAACTGGATATCCAGGAAGCAGTTATTTCCCATTCATCCCAATGCCTGTCAATCACCAACCTGATTTCTGTCTCTATTGACCAATATTCTTATTACATCTGTGCCCTTTGATGTTTCCTTTTTATTATTAATTGTATAAAATAATACGTACATGTCATTGTGACATGTTCATATATGCATATAATGTACTTTGATCACATTTACCCCCCATTATTCTCTCTTGTCCCCTTGCCCTCTAATATTTTCTATATTTTATTCTGTTTGAATAAAAAATTAGTCAAGGTCTACTCCCTTCCTCCTAACCCCACCCACCCAATGCAATGCTGCACGTGGAATCCATTGGAAAACTTGAAAAGAGACTGATGCTCAGGACTTACCCCAGAGATTCTGAAGTAATTTAAGGATTTGTAGAAGCTTCCAGGTCATGCAATCAAAGCAAGAGCCACTAATCTAATGTGCCTCTCCAGTTTGGAAAACATTGGAATGAGGCTTAGAGCCAGGGTGATAAGGGACATAGAGGGACACAGAGACAAAGGTGGGAACACAATATTTAGCTCTCTGAAGCTAACAAACACAGAGGTATGAGTACCTTCAGAAAGCATCCAGAATTACCTGCAAAGGAGTAACAGTCAGACAATGCCCAGACCTTGGGAGCAAGAGAAGTGTATGGACAGGCAAGTGGGAGGTCAGGAAGATACTCAGAAATGAGACAGAGACACCAGCTAGACAGATCCAGGACCCCTTCAGGTCACCACACCCTTCTCTTTCAGCTCACCTGTTCTCCAGGACCAGCCCTGCCCTTCCAGCAGGGGCCCAGACCCAGGCCCCAGGAGGCCGTGCCCCAACCTGCCCCAGCCCCAGAGAAGCTGCCCCGCCACCTGTCCTCCTTCCCTGGCCTGGTGGGGCCTGGCTTTGGGGCAAGACTGAGCCACGGGGGAAGGGGGAACTCGTACCTGCTGCTGCTTCCTCTGTCTTGGCTAACCTCTGTCCCCCTGGAACCCCTAACCATACCCAAGAGCTCCCAAAGCCTGAGACCAGGGCCATTTGGCCCCAACTTCCTGCCTGGCCCTGCTGTTGCGAGTACATGTTATTTATTACCTGGAGGCCTGTCCTATCCCTATCCTATCCCCATAAAGCATTGTTTACACCAGTGTCTTAGTGTCTGTCATTTTGGGATGTTGGGGTGAGGGTAGAGGTCCCTGATGGATCTATGGGACTTGGTGTTTGGGGCCGTGTTTCTGGGTTGGGCATGATATGGGGGGGTAACAGTGTATACCATGGCTCAGGGGCTCAATGTGGAGTTTGTCATCGTGTGCACTTTTTTTTTTTGACACTGATTAGCCTAGGCTGGACTTGAACTCAGAAATCCTCCTGCCTCAGTCCTCCTGGAGTACTGAAATTACAGGTGTGCATCACCACACCTAGTATATGTACACAGTACGCTTTGTGATGGTGGGTGTTTGAAGCTTGTGTGTTAATACTGACATCCCTGTGTAGCGTGTCTTAAGTCTGTGAGTGTCTGTAGGAATATGTGACACTGCTGCATGTGAGTACTCTCTGTTCTTGGTGATTATATTGGGAGATCAGGGCCAAGGATAGGGAATTTGGGCATATGAGTGGGTCGTGAGTTTGTATCTGGTGTTACCAATGCATGTCTGATGCCTGAAAATTGAGGTGTATTCTTGTGCACTGTGTCCTGAGGTGTCTTGTTTTGAGGTGAATTTGGCTCCTACCATTGTCCCTGTCTCTGGGCGCTTTGTACACACTTGGCAGCAGGTGAACTGCTGACACTTTCCTGCTGCCTGTCTTCTCGCAGCTCTATTCCCCCCAACTCCTCCCTCCCCTCTCTTCGCTCTTCCCCAAGTCAGCTGGGATCCACTCCACGGAGGTCCTGAGTCCTGCTCCCCACCTGCTTTGCCTGGGCATTGATGGAGGGGTTGGGGCATGGTCTTATCTACATTGACCTCCCAAGAGGGGTGGCTAAAATGTTCTCAAAGAGATGGGGCTGGTCATGCAAATGTCTTCTCTGCCTGGCTGTCCCAGGTTGTGTGTGCGCGCGTGTGTGAGAGAGGTGGGGCAGGATGGACAGGTCATGCAAATATGACACGCTTGCTCATCTAGGTCTGCGTTCCCTTCTCTTGAGGACGTTCCTTACTCTAGTTTTCTCTTCATTATAAAAAGTGCTTATGTAAATTACTGACGTGTGAATTTACATATGTTTTCCAACTAACTGCACAGCCATTTCTCAATATTCCCTTCTTGGGTTTTGAGGAGGATCTGCCTATGTAAATGAACATTTGCATGTCATTTCCCAAACCAGCGGCTCCTCTTTTCCACCACGTTCACGCTCCGCGGGGTGGGCCTTTCCATGTAAATTAGCTCATTTGCCTTCTCTTCTTGGCGCAAGGATAACACTCTCAGGAACGCACCACCCCCATCCAGGCGATCTAACCGCGCTCCCGCTCCCGCGTGAAGGGGGCGGAGCGGAGAATGCAAATGAACCTTGCGTCGGCGACTGTGCCACCTCTCCTTTCTGGATAGGGGTGTTCTGAATTTCCTCGCCGCGCGGTTCGCGCCTGCGCACGCACGGTCTTGGCCCGGGCGCGGTCACGTGCCTACCGGGCGAGGCGGGGGCGGAGCGTCGCGGGTGGTGGGGGCGGGGTATGGCGCGCTGTGCGGCGCAAGGCGGCTGGCACAAACGGCGGCGCCGGGGCCGGAGGAAAAAGCTCGGTGAGGAGGTCACGGGAAGGGAACAGGGAGGAGAAGAAGTTCGAGTCGGGGCGCCGGCACGCCCTAGGCTTGGTGTGGGGGCACGCGCCGGGGCCGGCGGGGGCGGGCTGTGGCGACCCCGGGGTGGGGGTGGGGAGGAAACGCTGGCCCGCACGTTAGGTGCCGGCCGTTGGGGGGCGGCGGGGAGCGCGCTCCCGGGGAAGGCCGAGGGGAGGGGCACGGGGTCTCAGTGGCCTTTGGGCCTTTCCTTAGTCGCCCACAGCGTCCCCGGGGAGGGGGGGCGGGGGGGCAGGGCTCACACCAAAGGGGATTGGGAGGGAGGAGTCTTTCCCTTGTCCTGTCCGCAAGTGCGTGAACCCTCCTTTCCCCCTGTTGTGGACCTTCCTCCCGGGCTCTCTTCCGTCTGTCTGTCTCAGGACCTCCCTTCCGCCCGGTGTGTGGCCGCCCCCAGTAAGCTTCCTCCCATTGGGCGCAGGTCGACCCCACCACCTGGTCTGTCTCTCAGGCCCTCCCTTCCAGCTTCTTTCAGTCTGTTTTTTTCTTAATGCAGCACTGTTCTCTTTGTCTCTGGATTCCCCAGTATCCTTTGCCTGCTGCCCCCAACTCCGAGTTTCCCTAGATTCACCCGATTCCCTCTTTCTGTAGACTCCCGCATTTCTCTGAGTCCCTCTGGAGCCCCCAAGCAGATCCCTCCTACTCCCCATCTCAACATGCACTCATTTTGCGACATCCACCCAGCCTCTTTCCTCCTTTGGCTCTTCCTCCTCACTGTCCTGTGCCTGTCATCTGTTCCCCCCTTAAATTCTTAGGCTCTTCTCCCCCCACTTGACCCCAGATTGTGGAGGTCTGTGTAGTCAGGCCTGTACCTGCCATCTTTCTACTTGCCTGTTCCACCTCCACTCCTTCCTCCACAGCCTACCTGCCTCTAGTTCCTCTCATCTCTTTTTTTTCTCTCTCTCTCTCCAGTCACCCCGACCAGTCCTTTCCCACGCCCCTAGGGACAACAGTGGACTTGGGGACCAGAGAGCACCCCCAGGGCACAAAAGAAGCCCCTGCTGCCTGCCCTGCCTCATCCTACCCCACACCAGGCCCAGCGGTCCCCGGCTGCATCAAGTGGAGGAGGAGGAGGCGGAGGAGGGTGGCACCATGGGCCCGGGCCGTGCCCTCCATGCCCGGGGGATGAAGACACTGCTGCCATGGACAGCCCGTGCCAGCCGCAGCCCCTGAGTCAGGCTCTCCCTCAGTTGTCAGGGTCTGTGTCAGAGCCCTTGGAGCCTAGCCGAGCCAGGATGGGGGTGGAGAGTTACCTGCCCTGTCCCTTGCTACCCTCCTATCACCGTCCAGGAGCACCTGGTGAGGCCTCGGCGGGGAGTGGGACCCCCAGAGCCACAGCCACCAGCACCGCTACCACTGCCAGCCCCCTGCGGGAGGGCTTGGGTGGTCAGGATGGCGGTGAGCTATGGCCACTGCAAAGTGAAGGTGCTGCGGCACTGGTCACCAAGGAGTGCCAGCGACTGGCAGCCCAGGGCGCCCGGCCTGAGGCCCCCAAACGGAAGTGGGCCGAGGATGGTGGGGATGCCCCTTCACCTGGCAAGCGGCCCTGGGCCAGGCATGAGGACCAGGAGGCAAAGGGGGAGGGTGGTGTGGGCTGTGGCAGCAGCAGCAGCAGCAGCAGCAGCACCACCAGCAGCAGCAGTACCAGCAGTGGCAGTGGCGAGGCGAGTGCTAGGCTAAGGGAGGAGGCCCCGCCCTCCGCACCTGAGCGCCTGGCCCTGGACTATATTGTGCCTTGCATGCGATACTACGGTATCTGCGTCAAGGACAACTTCTTGGGGGCAGCACTGGGTGGTCGTGTGCTGGCTGAGGTGGAGGCCCTGAAGTGGGGCGGGCGCCTGCGAGATGGGCAGCTAGTGAGCCAGCGGGCGATCCCACCGCGCAGCATTCGTGGGGACCAGATTGCCTGGGTGGAAGGCCATGAGCCAGGCTGCCGGAGCATCGGTGTCCTTATGGCCCATGTGGACGCTGTAATCCGCCACTGTGCTGGGCGGCTGGGTAGCTACGTCATCAACGGGCGCACCAAGGTAAGTTCGGTGGGGGCTTTCTCTGGAGCACTTTTCAGTAGCACTTTTTGTTGAATGCTTAGTGTCCTGGCACTAGGAAGAGTTCAGGCAGTTCCAGCAGAGGGGTTGCAACGCTCATCCCTGCGTACTCTGGTCCTTGGTTTGTTCACCTGTAAACTTGAGGTTTAATCTGGGGCCACAGTGTTTTTGACCTTGCAGGAATCCTCTTGGAGAACCTAATTAGAGCTGCTGACATTCGCAGCCTCGCATCTGTGCACGGGCTGTGGTGGGGTTCCTGGCTGCTGCTGTCTGTTTAAAGGCCTTAGGCCAAGGATGGTCAGTGTAGATGGCATATGGTTGTGCCTGTGTCCCTGTCCTTGTCTGTCCCTGTTGTCCTTTCCATCTGTACTTGTTTGCTGGCCTCTGTTGTCCATCCTGTCCTTCCAGGTAGAACCAGATGGAGGAGGGGAGGGCAGCAGTAGTGAGGTGAGCCCCTGGATGAGGGTGGGGGTGCTGCCTGCCATGCTGAGCACCTGCCCTGGGTTGCTTTATGCCCTGTGGGCCTGTTGTGGCATGCACATCAAGGAGAGCTTCCTGGAGGTGAGGTGACACTATGTGGCTGCATGCTGGCGCACGTTGAGCTCTTGTCCCCCCATCTTTCCCTTTTCTCTCTGTCCTAGACCCTGCTTGTCATTTCATCCATGACTGATTCTGGTCTCTTCCCTCTCTGCCTTTGTGTGCCTCTTCTTGGCTCTTTTTCTTTATTCAGAATGTAGTTTTCAATTTCTCTTTGGAGCCTGAACCTTTTTTTGGAATCTGCCTGAAGCCACAGATCCTCTCTTAGGAAAAATGCTCATTTGGTTGGAGTTCATAGGCAGTTATCAGAGTCTCCTGGGCCTCCAGCTGCCCATTCAAGAAGCAGGGGTCAGTAGCCCAGCACAGACAATGGTCTGCACGGCCTTTCTGGTTTGTTTCTGACTGTGAGGGTCCTGGCCTTGAGATGAAGACTTGTCATTTAGACAAGGCGTGTAGGGAGTGCCTCTCCTCATTTCCCGTAATGCTTGGCTGGTGGCACTTGCTGTGTTGTGCCCTGTGAGCAGCAGGCTGTGTCCCTGTCTTCTTCCTTGTTTCTTAGGTCCCATCTTGGGTTCTATCTTTGAATGGCTTTTCTCTCAGACTGGAGCTGGCTCCTGGACCAGGGATCCCTGGGGGCCCAGGCCTATTTCCTCCCCACCCCAGCTGGAACTTGTCCTACTTTCCTCTCCCTCCCGTTACTTGATAGCTGTAGAGCTGGAGCCGGCCCCTCCCTGAGCTTGGCTCCTGGAGGCAAGATCATTGTGCTCTCCCTGGCTCAGCAGCTGTATTCCCTGGTGTCAGCCCTCCCACAGGAGGGAAGTTAGGAAATCAGAAGTGCCGAGTGCTTAGGTGGGATGCTGTTCTGAGCCTCACTTCACTCACCACAGAATAGGACAACCAGGTGAACTCCCCAACAGCTAGGCCGTGGTAGTTTGGGGAGGAAGAGTTCAGGGAATAGATTGCTTTCCCTTTGGTGCCTCTGGTTCCCACCTGGATGTGGTTGGGGACAGACCTGAGCTAGGATTGGAAGGGGAAAGGGGTGGGCTTCTTTAAGCCCTAGGTGACTCTTTTCCCTGGGGAGGTAAGAGTAGGCCAGGGTGGATGGAGACAGGAGGAGAGGAACCAGCACAGGTACTGGAGTCCCATTTTCCCCCTCTGCCCTCCCCCACTGACACACATCAAAGGGCCACATGGGGCTCCCTTCCTGGGCTCTAGAGAGGCTGTGGGGTATTGAGGTGGGCAGAGGCAGAGGCAGTGGGAACATAGTTTACCAGTGTGGCTATGTGCAGAAGTAACCTGGTCCTCAGTGGTTGCTGAATGGTGCTCCTCTGTCCTCCTGTCTTCTCTGCTATCCCTGTTCCCTCTGTTCATGGACCTGCATCTGCCATGAGTCAACTCCAGCTGGCATGAAGGGCTACCAGAGATCACCCAGGGAGGGGTTGCTGGCTTAATTTTCCCCTTTAAGAGCAGCAAGGAGGTGGGGCCTGCTGTCTCAGCCTTCTGATTTGGTGTGGGTGGTAGTGGTGGTAAGGACCCTTAACAGGTTGTCACCATCCTTTTACTCTTTAGTGTGCTGGCTGTGGTCCCACCTGCTGTTCTCTGAGGTGGAAGGGATAAGGGAGCGAGTTCCTTTGCCACTTTGTAGTTGTCCTGCAGCTGGTTGTGGGGTTTGGAGGAGTGCTCTCAGCCAGCAGATAGTGCACCACGCACTCAGGAGACAGGCCTGGCCCCAGGGGCTTACATGGAGCTGCTTTTCAGACCAGTGCTAAGTAAACAGCTACCTGAGCTGGTTTCATGTTGAGAGGAGTGGAGTAGACAGCTGGAGTACTTAAGGCAGCACTTGACTTGAGTCAAGAATGATAAGGGGAAGAGGGTCCTAGGCAGGCCTTGAGGTGGGGCTGAGGTAGGTCTGTTAAGACTTGGAGCAGAATGGAGCCATAGCACATGAGGTTGGTGGCTTTGGAGGTTATGGGTTGGAATTTGTGTTTTCTGTCTCAGGCTGCTGTTTGAGGGTGGATTGTGGTGGTGGTGGTGGGGGGGAAGGCGCCAGCACTACCCTCCCCCTTCTGTCTGCATGCAGAGCCAGTATGAGCTTCTATTGAATTACCAGCTGGGGAGGCCTTGCCCATCAATAATCAGTGACTTCATTCCAGGTCATGGCCACATTCTTTCTTTCCAATGAGTGGCTGCTCTGAGTGCCATCCCATCTGCAGGGAATAAGCTGTGCACAGAAGGCTCTCTCTCCTGCTCCTTGGGGTGCAGAGGCCAGGCTTGCTTTCTCTGGGGGCCTCTCACTCAAACTGTGTTGCCAGCAAGCAGATTGGCTCTTTCCTGCTGGGTGGCCTTAGGTGGTGGCAGCCCTCCTGGTCTCTTTCCCAAGGCAGGTTGGTAGATCCAAGTGTATGTACCTGATACAGAGTAGTTTAGCATCCACACAGCAGTGAGCCCTGGGACCAGTGAGTTGAGAGTTGTTCTGGGAGGAGGCTGAAGGATTGAGTCAGTCTGACCCTCCATGGAGTGCTTGGTAAGCCTCCTGCTTTGGCTGCAGACACTGATGTATTTGATCATAAGCCCTGGTGAGCTGGGCCTGGAGGTGTAGCTGAGCATTGATGGGGAGCCCCAGTCAGCAGGGTGGTACCCAGACAGGGAAGCTGGGGATCCTCATGCTAATTAGTCCTGTTTGCCTAGGACCTCATCCAGCCTACACAGTGGGTTTGAGCAGAGGGTAGGACAGGGGTCTTGCTTTTTCTTTAAATAGTTTTTCAGCAGTGCTTTAGTTCTCCATTATGTGGTTCATTTCCCACAGCAGCCTGTGCAGTAGTGTCAGCTCCCTTCTGTGGGTGAGGAACCTGAGTCAGGGAACTCAAGGCATCACTCTGATGCTAAAGGCTGAAGGATGTCGGGCAGCACTGAGACTTGGAATTGGGTCTAAGCCATTTCTTTCACACCACAGCCATCTTTCTGTTAATAGACATCCTGGGACAGGGCCAGGGGAGTGGCAGCTGTGAGGTAGAGGAATCAAGAACTCTGTAGCCAGACCCGTGCACACAGACCTGGAGGGAGACCTGGAGGGAGTCCTGGCTGTTAGATCTGTGGTGGGCTGAAGCTTCAGTTATGTTCTCAGAGGTTTCCACTTAAGCTCCTGCTGGAAAGAGGTGTTTATCAGCCCCGTTTTACACTTGAGGTAGCTGAGGTCCTTGAGGGAGCTGAGGCCCTTGACGGTTATGCACCAAGGTTGGAGTTGGAGCTCTTGGTTCTGGTTCCTGTTTGGATATGTATAGGATGAATCATTGGTTGGATTCTTTGTAGTCAAGGGCAGGGGCAGGGGTTCTCGGTATTGCTGCACATTAGAATTACCTGGGGAGTCTTCTTAAAAAAAAAAAAAAAAAAAAAATCCAGTCCTCCTTAGACCAAGCCTGTGACAACCTTTGAAGCGAGGCAGGCCTGGACCTAAGTGTCTCAAAGCTCCCTAGGAGATTCCACTTTGCAGCCACGGGTGAAAACTCCTGGCCTAGGGCTCTGAGGCCACCTCTCTGCCTACCTGAAAACATTAAATTGGTTTTGCTCTACTGAAATGTCTGAAGTAGAGTTAGATTGTCTTTAAAAAACAACACAAAACAACGAAACAAAAAGCCGTCAGTTACTCAATGAGCCCCCCAATCTGGGTCTGTGCGGGAGTGCAGAGGCCTGTTGAAGCCCAGGAAATGAGGTTTCTGATGAACTTGTGAATTTGGTTTTTTTTTTGTTGTTGTTGTGGTGGTGGTGGTGGCACTGGGGTTTGAAATCAGGGCCTCACACTTGCTAGGCAGGTGCTTTACCACTTGAGCCACTATACCAGCCCAAGGGATGGGGTCTTAGCTGAATTTGGGCTTGGAAGCCGGTTGGAGCCTAGGATGGTCAAGGAATCACAGGGAAGAAGACGGTTGGGAAGGGCGAGCAGGATGTAACGTAGTGGCTGCTTCCCGAGATGTCACTGCCTCGCCTTGGTGAATGAACCACCTTCCTTCATCTCTGCCAGGCTATGGTGGCGTGTTACCCAGGCAACGGGCTGGGGTACGTGAGGCACGTTGACAATCCCCACGGCGATGGGCGCTGCATCACCTGTATCTATTACCTGAATCAGAACTGGGATGTTAAGGTAGGGTCAGGGGTGGGATGGGACGGTGTGCATTCACTCCATTCCACTCCCAGCTCAGATGCCAGCCTTCGTTCCTCCTAGCCCACAGGGGCAGTGCATTCCCTTCCTGGGAAATGGCACCTCCTTTCTAGCCAACTGTGTGGTGGGACCTCCCCACTTTCCGGGAGTGGTGCTGTCTACCCAGCCCCACCGGGCCTTGTACACTCTCCCCCTTTTCCTGTCTTTAGTAGCTTCCTGCCCATCTCCATGGTGATGTGAACTCTGGGCTGTCATTCATTTAAGAGCACTAATGGTGGGAGGAGTGATGTGTGCTGGTGCTGCACCCCCTAGTGGGTGCATGGGCACAGTGCATGGCAGAAGCTCTAGGAGTAACCAGCCAGCCTCATCCTCTGGCCTGCCCCCAGGTGCATGGTGGCCTGCTGCAGATCTTTCCTGAGGGTCGGCCTGTTGTAGCCAACATTGAGCCACTCTTTGACCGGCTGCTCATTTTCTGGTCTGACCGACGGAACCCCCATGAGGTGAAGCCAGCTTATGCCACCAGGTATGACCAGTATTTTGGGGGCTGTGTCCAGGTGCTCTCTCTGGAGGACCCCCGACCTGTGGGGGTTCTCAAACTCCCACAGTGACTAAGGAGTGTTGGGAAGCTGAGAGAGGGCCTAGGTGGGAACAGAACCAAGTGGCTCAAAAGGGAATTCTGGTGTCACCGTGGATATGGTGACTGGAATTACAGAAATCTGATTTCACCTGCTGTCTCCCAGGTACGCCATCACTGTCTGGTATTTTGATGCCAAGGAGCGGGCAGCAGCCAAAGACAAGTATCAACTAGGTACCTGCTTTCTCCTGTCACGCCCTTCCCATTCCCTGTATACTGTGCTTGGTCTTTTTTTCTTTTTTCTTTTTTTTTTTTTTTGGTACTGGGGATGGAACCCAGGGCCTTACATGCTAGGCAAGTGCTATTATCACTGAGCACACCCCAGTCCTCTCATCAGTCTCTTATTTGAGTCCCACTACTAATGCTATCTAATCTTTCTAGTCAGCCCGCTTTCCTGGTACCCCCAACATGAGCCCCATTTCTTTGTCATGTTCTCAAGTTTTCCTTGGCCTCTTTGTCCTTTTCCTGGTGACTCACAGTCTCCTGTCCCCCTCTCATCCTCAGCATCAGGACAGAAAGGTGTCCAGGTATCTGTATCACAGCCAGCCACACCCACCTAGTGACCAGCCCCAGAGCTGCATGGACTGACAGCTCACCCGACTTCAGGAGAGCCCTGGGCCCTACAGCAGCCCACCAACCTCGGTGCCCGCTCCTTCCCTGCCTGCTGCTGCTTCTGGCTTGCCTCTGTCCTGCCTGGTGTGGAGGGCCCTGTGCATTACTGAGGACCAAGGAAGAAGAGACCTCTACTGCCCTGTGAGGGGGGTGGGGTTGTGACCTGGGCAGTGGCCAGTGTTGGGGGCTACCATTACTGAAACTAAGGACTTGTGTCCTGCCATGTCTGGTCATTCCCCTGCTGGGTGTGGAGAGTGGGAGGAGGCAGGACTTGGGGTTGAGGTGAGTCATGGCCTCTTGCTGGCAAGGTTTGTGGGGGACTATTCCCAAGCTCCCCTACTCCACCAGCCTGGAATGTGAAGTGACTCCCCAACCCCTTTGCCATGGCACCTTTTAGACTGGGCTGCCGCTGCTAGGGCAGGGTGAGGTGCTGGGAGGAGCATGGGTATGGAAGTCCTGCCAGCCAAGAAATAAAGTTTACCTCAGAGCTGCATGTCCGACTTTCCCTCTCCATAATGAGACTTATTGACCAAGGGGGTCAAGAGGTCTGAGGGTCGGGTGTGGCTAGGTTGGTGAAGCCCGACCTCAGTGGGTCACCAGGTAGAACTGGAAGGCTGGGGGGACATTGCCCAGACCAGTGCGCTGGGGGGTGAGGTTGATGTTGGCATGGCTCCCCAAAGGGAGTAGGCAGAAGCTCTGCAGGATGCAGATTTCTGAGTGGGCTAGGCTTGCGCCCAGGCACATCTGCTTTCCTGTGGATACAAGTGCATGGTGTGAACACCTCCTGCAACCCTAGCACTGGCCTGTACTCATCCCCTCCCTCCTGGCTCAGACCTGGGGCAAAGGGCATGAAGGCATCACTGCTCTGGAACTCACCCTTGTCATCCAGGAAGTTGGAGTTAAAAAGGTCTGGGTCCTTGAATTGGGTGGGGTCCCAATGTGCAGACACAGGCAGGGGAATCACAAAGGTGTACAGTTAAGGTTATCCCAGAACTAGCCTCTCCACATGCCTCATCCAAGACCCTTTGTTTTTGCAGAGCTGGAGATGGAATCCAGGGCCCTGCAGCGAGCACAGAGCCACATCCCCCAGCCCAAGTTGGCTTGAGCTCTGATCCTCAGCTTTCTACGTGCAGGCATCATGGGTGTGTACCACCACACCTGACTTTTTTTGTGTTATGTGTGGAGATAGGGTCTCCCTAAATTGTTGAGGCTGGCCTTGAGCTGACCTGGAGTGACTCCTACCCCCCCACCTCAACCTCGCTCTGAGACTATAGGTGATGGCCACTACCCCTGGCCCAATAACTTATTTCTTTGCAAACCAGGGCCTTATGCATACTAGGCAAACATGTACCACCCCCAGTTTCAAAGAGTGTTTTTAGAAGCTCGTGGGAAGGTGGATCTTCTGGGGCTGCTGTCAATCAGTTGGTATGCCCATGCCCATTAGAGCTAGTCTTCCTGAATAGGTGCTAACGCTTAGTCCTGCCCCCAGTGCAGGACACCCAAGTTCCGTGCACACCTTTGGCAGAAAGTGGCCCTGGAAGTGGCATTATAGGTGAGGGCACACATGCTGGTAAAGCACTGAATTTAGGCAGCATGGTGTTAGTGTAGGGCAGACCCACTCATCTGAGTGTGTGTCCAGCCTACCACTGTCCAGCTCTGCCTGCACCTTGGCTGGGGCCAGAGAAGGTTTTGAGATGCACACTACCAGGACACACTTCCCCCAACCTCCCAGCCATGCTCAAACCCCAGCTTTTTCATTTGGTCTCCAGCCTGCAGACCTGCCACCTCTGGGTACCTGACAGAATGAGGGACCCACCAGTGCAGTGGTGGTCTAGGTGCCACTGAAGGAAAGGTTGTGAGTTGTCATCACCATTTCCTTCTGGGTCCCGACGTTACTGTGGGTAGAGACCCAGGCTGCACCTTCTGTCCTTGCTGCTGCTGGGTGGGCTGGGTAGCAGGGACCTGTGCCTTATCCATCTGGTTGAGGAAGAAGTCGATGAAATCCCAGGGCCCCCATACTGCCTTGTCTGCTGGTGCCACTTGATTTGCTCAGAGAGCAAGACTCTTCCAAGTTTAAGAAGATTTGGTGGCCACCTTCCTGGTGGCCAGGAAGGCAGTCCAAGAGGGAGGGGAATATGTTGTACGTCTAGGGAGACAATCTCAAAAGGACCCTGGACAAGGCCATGAGGACTTCGTTTTCCTCTAGGGAGAATGCACCAGGATTTGAATGTGGTTCTAGATCTCTTCCATTCCAAGAATCTAAGACTGCCTATTCCATTCTAATGATCCATTATAAGTAGGGTTGTGTGCTTGGGGTTTGTCATAAGACCAGGCACACGAAGGAGAGATGGGAGATGACCCTCTCACCTTACCCCATCTGGAACTCATGCGGAAATTGTCATTGAAGAGGTCCAGGAGCCTCAGGAACTCCGGGTCGCCCTAGCCATAGTGTTTCCCGAAGACCACGGAACAGATAACATTGGATACAGCATTATCCGGCAACTACTGGGGGTTGAAGGGAGCTCGGGTGGGGACTGAGGGGGTGGGAACAGCCCTAGGTAATGATGCTGTGACCCAGCCCCCAGCCAGTTTCTTCACCTTACTGGATTTGTTCACCCCAAAGTATTATCATGGCTCCTTCTTGGCAGTCCATTGGCCACCCCACTACCAGGCCCTTCAGTTTTCCCTGCCAGGCCGCACCAATGGTGGCTCGGAATTGGTCAAGCAGACATGCTGTCTCCAGGATGCGCTTCTCGATGGTCCACGTCCCCACCCTGAACTCTCTCAGCGCACCAAGTGCGCAGCGCCGGCCAGCGCCGCCCATTAGAAAACACGGAGCCTACGGTGGAGACAGAAAAGGGGCTGCAGGGAGTTGGCCACGCCCCATCCAGAAAGCGCCAGTCACTACGAACGGCCCTAATTGGGGCCTCCAACTCCAGAGCAGACTTACCCACAATCCTTCGCTTTGTTCTTTTACCCAGCCTCTTAATTGCCAACCTTCTCAGCCCCGTCCACCCATTGGTCCCACCTTTGCTGCTCCGGATCCCTGACCCACGCTCGTTCTTTCAGGCTTAAGAAGCTTAGGCTTTCCTCTCATCAGCTGCAAGATGAATCTCAATGGGGCCTGTACTCTTTAGCTCTGTCCACCCTTTCTTCGCTCTTCACTCTTGTCAGCTCTATTTTCTGTAAGGCCCCTTTCACTTGCCTGGCTCCACCCTTTATCCTCCCCAACTGTCTGGTCTAGGTCCTCGCTTCCACCGCCGGGACCTCACCGTTTCCATGCGTGAAGCGTTCGAAGGCTGCCACTGCCCGGTGGCGGGAGAAGGCATCCACCTGCAGCACTAATGCGTCCCGCAGCGCTGCATAGCCACATAGCACGGCTGACAGGACGCGGGTCCGGCCACACTGTGAACACTGGGGCCCAGCAGCAAGAGAACCAGTGTTCAGGGAGAACACTGAACACTGGTTCAGGGAGAGCCAGTGTTCAGTTGGTCCCCTGCTCCACCGAGACCCCATCTCCCTCCTCCCTCAGATCCAGAAGTCCCCCTCTCCGCCCGTTATTCCTCAGGTCCAGCAGTTGAGATCCCCAGCTCCCTCCTTCCTCGACCCAGGCATCTACCAGGGCCCCAACTCCCTTAGCTCTTTTTTCAGTGAACCAGAAATTCTAATCCCCCAATCCGTCTCCAAGAATGCAGAATTCTGTCCCCGTCCCCCACTGTCGAGGCTACTTCCATGAGTGCATGGTGCAGGTGTCTGGACTCCAGCTGCAGGAAGTTCCCTAGCAACAGGAGCGGCGTGGACCCAGGGGGTAGGCCAGTCTGCATCTGAGAGCATCGGACACCCCAACCCCACCACGCAAGCGCCAGCACCAGGAGTGGCAACAGCCCTTCTGAGCCCTGGCTCACCTGGCTGTGTGTATGTCCCAGGTGCCATTTTCAAGTCAATACTCCTGTCCAGGTGCAACCTACTGAACCCCTAGCAACCTTAGGGTCCACGTATGCCTCAGTCCTTTGGCCACTTCTGGGCCAATGTCCTCAAATACCTTACACTGTACCTCTGATTCCTAAACATATTCCTGACTCTTAAATACACTTCTAAAACCACTGCTGGCCACATGTCCATTGGCCTGGCACCCCATGCCCTGTGTCTAGGATTCCTAGGGACTCACCCAGCAACCTTGTTATCTGCATAGCTCTTGGAAAGCTCTATGCTGTACCTGTCCCCCTGATGCTTACTTGAATCCCTTAGGTTCCTGGTGCCTACCAGCCTGGATCCCTTTGTAGCTCTATTTATGTCCAGAACTGTCCAAAACTACTGCCATTTCTACTCCCAAGGCTGTGGCACCCAGATGCCCCCCCAAATGTCCTGTGAGTCTGCTGCAGTACAATCTGGTCTCCATTCCCCCAAATCCCAGTAGGGACCCCATCTGAGGTCAGATCATGATGGCAGACAAAGAAATTCCTCATTTCCCGTCTTGCTCTACAGAAACAGGCTAGAGGGGCCCAGTCAGGCCTGCATGGGCTGGGGTGGGGGCGGGGCTGTCATTACTTGGGACAGACAGTTCAGGAATGTGGTCCACCTTCCTGCTCCTCCCTGCCTTGCTAGATCCAGCCTTCCTGCTTGGCATGGGGCCCAGACCTGGAGCTAAGGTGGGGGGCCCTGCAGAGTCCCAGACTGGACTTGTTTCTGGGAGTGTTTCTCAGCATCTCTGTCTACCTCTGTTTCATTCCTCAGTGTCTCCCTCCCTCTCTCTTTCCTTTCTATAAGTTTTTCTCTTAGTTGGTGCCTTGGTTCGCCTCTCTTTCTCTCTCTTTTCTCTCTCTTCTCTGTCATGTTTCTCTCTCTCTCTCTCTCTCTCTCTTTCTCTCTCTTCTCTCTTTCCTTCTATATGTATCTGGGTCTGTCTTTTTTTTGTTTTTTTTTCTTTTTGCCATATTGGGGTTTGAACTCAGGGCCTTGCAGTTGCTAGGCAGGCGCTCTACCACTTGAACCACACTTTCAGCCCTGTTTTTTTTTAGTTATTTTTCAGGTAGGATCAAGCACTTTTTTGCCCTGGGCTGTCCTGGACCTTGATTGTCCTACCTACGCCTCCTACATAGGTGGGATCACAGGCACTCCTGACTTGTTTGTTGCGATGCAGCTCCATAACTTTTTGCCTCAAACCTGATATCCACACCCCAGCCCCTAGTACCTCAGACCACAGATGTGCACCACCATGTCTGCCCTCTCCATCTGTCTTGATTTTATTCTCCTGTCTGTGCTTCTTGGTCTCTCTGCCTCTGCCTCTGCAGGGTCTTCCTACCTGTCAGCTTTTCTCTGTACGGGGACTAGATGACAGGCAGGGAGGGGTGAAGAGTAGGATTTCTGCTCAGAGGTGGTAACCCCACTGAAGGCTGGGGTGCATCTTGGCACAGGAAGTCACTCTATCCCACCCCTCTGGGTCCTCTTTATTGGGGTCTCTGACTTTCTCTTTATCTCCTGGCTCTTCTTTTCACCGTGTTAAGCATCAGCTGGCCTCAAACTCGAGATCCTTCTGCCTCAGCTTCCTGAGTTTTGGGATTACAGGCATGTATCACCACCCCTGTTTTGTCTGCTTCTGTACCCTGGTACCTAAAATAGTAATCAACACAAGGAGGTGCTCAGTAAATATGTGTTGGATGAATCATCCTCTCTGATTCTGTCTAACGCAGACTAGATTTCTGTTTCAACCCATCTATCTCCCTTTTCTTTTATCTCTCAGGTCTGTTTGTCTGTCTTCCATCTCTGTCCCTCTCTTAATTTCTTTCTCTGTTTTAGAATCCTCTTGTCTTCCCTCTGTCTGGGTACCTGTCTCTCCCTTTTCTCAGTACCTTTCTTTGTCCTCCTGTTGCACTTTTTCTTCATCTCACTCCCAATGTAACAGGGTGGCTATTTGTCAGTTTTTTTTGACAGCTCTGCACAGTTGTCACTCTACCTTAAAAGAAACCCTACCTAGATGGTTAAGATACTAACTGCTAACTCTTTCTTTAGAATTTAGAACCCAGAATTTCTGGTGACCTTTGTAAAACTCCTTAGTCCTTAGTTCTGTGACTATGTCAGTCTGAAAAGAGCTGCAGAGTAAATGGATGGAATTGGAGAACATCATTCTGAGTGAGGTTAGCCTGGCCCAAAAGACCAAAAATCGTATGTTCTCCCTCATATGTGGACATTAGATCAAGGGCAAACACAACAATGGGATTGGACTTTGAGCACATGATAAAAGCAAGAGCACACAAGGGAGGGGTGAGGATAGGTAACACACCTAAAAAACTAGCTAGCACTTGTTGCCCTTAACGCAGAGAAACTAAAGCAGATACCTTAAAAGCAACTGAGGCCAATAGGAGAAGGGGACCAGGAACTAGAGAAAAGGTTAGATCAAAAAGAATTAACCTAGAAGGTAACACACATGCACAGGAAATTAATGTGAGTCAACTCCCTGTATAGCTATCCTTATCTCAACCAGCAAAAACCCTTGTTCCTTCCTATTATTGCTTATATTCTCTCTACAACAAAATTAGAAATAAGGGCAAAAGAGTTTCTGCTGGGCATTGGAGGGGGTAGGGGGGAGAGGGAGGGGGCGGAGTGGGTGGTAAGGGAGGGGGTGGGGGCAGGGGGGAGAAATGACCCAAGCCTTGTATGCACATATGAATAATAAAAGAAAAAAAAAAATAAAAAGAGCTGCAGAAACTGGCTCCAGAAAGTCAAGGTCCATTGCAGTGTTCTAGGAAAAAAGAAAAAAGGGAGAAACATGCCCTGATGATGAAGGCAGTGCACAGACTTCTTGCTCCACTCCTCCTTTCCTTCCTTATAATAGCCCTTTGCACCCCTGAGTCCCTGAAGATGGAGCTTTTTTCTTTTTTTGGCAGTATTGGGGTTTGAACTCAGGGTTTCACACTTGCTAGACAGGTGCTCTACCACTCAAGCCACTCTGCCAGTCCAAGATAGAGCTTTGAGGTAGTAGCCCCTCTATCTTCTCAAGATTGCTGACCCTTACCCAGGCATGGTGGCACACACCAGTAGTCCTAGCTCCTCAGGAGGTGCAGGCAGGAGGATTTCGAGTTCAAGGCCAGCTTGGGCAAAGTTAGGGAGACCCTATCCCTTGCACCAAAAAAAAAGACAGGGTGTTGCTTGAACCCACGTGCGATGCCCTGGGTTCAATCCCTAGTACTGCGTAAAACAACAACAATAGAACCTTACCATCCCTTGGCCAGATCTTGAATTTCAATAAAATCAGTCTTTGTTTTTCAGTGTCTCTGTCTGCTTTCTCTCTTCATCTCTTCTTAGTCTTTCCGTATCTCCCTCCAACTCTTCATCCCCAATTGGGCCGTGGGGTACACTCTGTGGTCCACCTGTGAGGATTAAGGAGCCAGTGTTTCATGTGGGAACTGCCTGTACATCCCACCCAGCCAGCTCTGTGCTCTGCATGGCATGTCCCAGCTTCTGGATGGCCTCTGGGGAGACTCTGGTCAGGTTATGGCCTCCCAGGCCTTCTCTGCTGTGGCTGGAGCCAGCCCCACCCTGCCTGCCTGCAGCTCTAGATCTCTGCCCTGTGAGAAAAGCCACCGTCAACAGCATGTCTAGCTGTTAAATTCAATCCTACATGGGAAGGCTTAAGGCCATAGACAGGTATTCCTATTCAAAATTTGCAGGGCAAAGGAATGGACCAGCGAGAGGAGTGGGGAGCAGGAGAGACAGTCTCCATTTTCCTATGTCTCACTGCCCCCAATTCATTGTCCTTCCTCTCTCTGGTCTTCCTCCACCCTCCGCCCCCACTTTTCTCTTTCCCCATTTCTCAGTCTTTTATCTCTTTGCTCTCTTCTGTCTCCTGTAGTGTCTTCCTCTACCTTTCTGGGTCTCTGACTTGTGAGACTGAAAGTGGTGTTTGAACTCAGGGCCTTGTATTTGTTAGGCAGGTGCTCTACCACTTGAGCCACATCCCCGGCCCTTTTTGCTGTAGTAACCTACAGGTAGGGTCTCATGTTTTTGCCCCAGTGCCTTGAACTTTGATCCTGCTATTTATGCTTCCCAGTAGCTAGGATGACAGATGTGTACCATCACTGCCTGGCTTAGTGGTTGAGTTGAGGTCTCAATAACTTTTTGCCTGGGCTGGCCTTGAACCTCAATCTTCCCTGTCTTTGCCTCCTGAGTAATTTGGGATTACAGGTGTGAGCTACTGCACCTGGCTCATGTGTCACTTCACCTCTCTGAATCTCAGTCTGTTTATCTGTAAAAATGTGATAACAAGATTGCTTTGCCTCCTGGGGAGAATTAAACAAGGCATTTAGAACAGCACAGGAATAGGAAGGGCTGTGTAAGTGTTCCTGAGAGTTTCTCAGTCTCTCACTTTCTCGTTGCTTCCATCTCTCTGGGACTCCTGTTTGGCATCTCTCTGGGCTGGCATCTTTTTCTCTGTCCTGGTTTCTCTGCCTTTCTGTCTTCTGGTCCTCACAGCCTTTACATTCTAGTTTGTCTGCAAGAAATAATTCCTCTTACCCTAGCTGCCCTGAGGGTGAGGGTGAGGGTGAGGGTGAGGGTGTACACAGGTGTTTCTCATCTCTGCAGTCAGATCACCTGCCTCTCATCCTAAGGGACCATCCTCCACCTTTATTTATTTTTACTTATTTATTGCCTTATAACTAGGATGTTTTTATTTTTTTAATTTCAATTTTATTTTATTTTTTTTTTTGTATGATTGGGGTTTGGACTCAGGGCTTTGCACTTGCAAAGCAGGCACTCTACTGCTTGAGCCACACCTTCGGTCCATTTTGCTCTGGTTATTTTGGAGATAGGGTCTCAGGAACTAGTTCCCCAGGCTGGCCTTGAACCTCGATCCTCTGGATCTCAGCCTCTCAAGTAGCTAGGATTACAGGTGTGAGCCAGTGCCCGGCTATTTTTAATTTTTTAAATGGGTTTCATTATGACCTTTTTATAATGCATACAATCAATGTATTTCAATCTTACACCCCCCTTTCCCCTCCTCTTCCCTTTGATTCCCCTCCAAATAGCCCCCCACTTATGTTCACATCCATGTTTTCCCTTTTAGATCTAGCTTCTACATATGAGAGAAAACATGCTGTATTTGTCTTTCTGAGTCTGGATAATTTTGATTACTATGATGACCTACTCATTTTTTGATGGGCACTAGGTAGATTCCATTACATGGCTAATGTGAACGGTGCTGCAATAAACATGCATGTTCAGGTATATCTATTGTATGCTGACTTGCATTCCTTCTAGTATATGCCCAGGAGTGCTATAACAAGGGCCATATGGCAGTTCTAGGTTTTTTTTTTTGGTGGTACTGGGGCTTGAACTCAGGGCCTACACCTTGAGCTACTCCACCAGCCCTTTTTTGTGAATTTTTTTTTTTTTTTGAGATAGGGTCTTGCAAACTATTTGGCCCGCCTGGCTTGGAACCTCGATCCCCTGATCTCTGCCTCCTGAGAAGCTAGGATTATAAGCTTGAACCACTAGCAACCCACTTAGGGTTTGAGGAACTGCCATACTGATTTCCAGAGTGGCTGCACTAATTTACATTCCCACCACTGCTGTATAAGGGTTCCTATCCTCGAACTCCAACAGCCCTGTTGTTTGTTTTCTTGATGGTAGCCATTCTCACTGGGAATCTCAATGTCCTTTTGATTTGTTGTCCCCCTCCTAAAGGAGGCCCGAGCAGGCTAGAATCTATTATAAATTTTTTTTTCTGGAAATTATACAAAAAGCCCAGAAAAGGGTACATCACAGGACAAGTTCTGTGGATACAAGGGTACAAGAGCAACACCTCCAGACTCCCCCATGGTTTTCTCTGCATGCAGACTGGATTAAGATAGGAGGGATAAGAACAGGCATGTAGCAGGCCCAGGGTGTACAGAAGGGAACGTGACAGCGAGACGGAGGGGGCCAACTGTGGAAGGAGAAGAGGGACGGAGCAACCCCTGGATGTCAGCGTGGATGCAGGCGCAACTCGTAAGGTCGGGGCACGTTGCCCAGGCCCGAGCTAATGGGGGTCAGATCGATGTCCTCGGGCGCCTCTAGCGGCTGCAACGTGAAGTTCTGCAGGATGAAGGTGAGGAAGATGAAGAGCTCCATGCGCGCCAGCGACTCGCCCAGACACAGTCGGCGCCCTGCAGGGGTGGGAGGGCGAGGAGGAGCTGTGAGACAAGGGGTGGGTGGGGATGGGGTGCGAAGGAGGGACTGGCACCCCCAGACTCTCAGAGGAAAACATGAGGACAGGAAGATAACGGCTGGGGGCCTCTTAGGTCCATCCATCCAAAGGTGTGGGGAAAGACCTTTGGAGCAGAGTGAGTTGTAAATACAAGTGCTACCGCCCAGGTTCAAATCCCAACAATGCAAAGGGCAGTTTTGTGCTCTTGGAAAGCCACAATTTCTGAAATGGGGATGATATCAGTGCCTCATGAGGGTGTTGTGAATGGTGTGTATATATAGGTAAAGCAGTGGGACTGAATGCTTATGTTACTTTCTCTCTCTTTCTCCTGGAGATTGAACTTGGGGTCTTAAGTGCTCTACCACTTGAGCCACACCCCAGTCCTTTTGCTTTTTTAGTTTGTTTTCCAGATAGGTTGTAGTGCTTTGGTCTCAGTGGCCTTGGACCTTCATTCTCCTAGCGCCATCTCGAGTAGCTGCGATTACTGGTGCATCAGTATGCATGGTTATATACTACTTGCTTGGTTATATACTACTCTTGGTTATATACTACTCATGCTTGGTTATATACTACTCTTAGTTTAATCTTCCTAACAACTCCAAAAGGTGGGTGTTAGTATTATTTTCATTTTCTGGATGTGGAAATTGAAGCACGGGAAGTAAATATGTAAGGTCACACAGCTACTGGGGTGCAAACCTTCTGTGATCTGGCTACAAGCCCAGTACTTGGCTATTACCCTTGTAATTCTTTTCAGAGGCAGCACCTGGCACATGGTAGGCAATATGGTAATTACCTATTTTTAGCCCCGCCTGTTCTCCCCTGCTACTGAGTAAACAGGACTTTCCCCCCAAGCAGACTAGGGCCAAAATAAACAAACCAACCAACCACCTCCGAACACCCTGGAACCACCTCAACTGCGCCACCTACTGGACAGATGGACAATGACCACTCCCAATCAAATTGTTAATCAGCCTCTGCCGACAGGAGCTGAGGTGGAAGACGAAATGAGAGTCTTTGTGCATCCAAAGCTGAGGATGAGTAGGATGAAGAAGCGGGAGGGTTTGAAGAGTAAAATTAGGGCTCAAAAGACTCTGACTCCTGTTCTCACCAGCTGAGAAGGGCATAAAGGCAGGGCTGTTCTTGAAGGATTGGTTGGCATCCAGAAAATGCTCAGGATTGAACTCCTGGGGTGTCTGGAACTGGCTGGGGTCATTGTGCACGGTGTTGAGGAGGGTGATGATATCCGTGCCCTGTGTGGGTGAGAAGTCGGAGATAGTGATGTAGAACATTGGAAGGTCTCCAAACTAGGGTTTCTGTTCTACAGGGCTCAAGGTCCTGGGGACTTGAAAAGGAGCTGGGGTAGGGCATAGGACTCGATCTGGGGTTCCAGGTGGGTGCTAGAAGCTGTGTCCTGAGGTCTGAGAAAGGGATGCGCATCATCTCCCACTTTGTGGAACCAGATGTGGGATTTTTGGGAAGGGGAGAGATCTCAGGGGAGAGTTTTGGCACAGGTAATCCTCAGGATGAAGAGTCCCAGACCCTGGGGATTCCAGAGGTGGGTCCTAGGAAGGGGACATGTGATAGGAAAGGGTAGAGTTTAGGACAGGGTCCAGTAGAGTCTAGTATGAGATAGGGTCCTGGAAAGGGGCAGACACTCTGATTTAAGAATCTTAGATATCTGTTGTTAGGGCTCAGGATGCCTGGTGAAGTTGATTGCGAGGGCTTAGGGTGCCTTTTCCTAGGATGCCCGGTGTCGATTGCACACCTTGGGTATCAGGAAGCCGCGGAAGGCCGTGTCCTTAGTGACGCGGTGCGGCAAGTTCATGGGGAGGATGTCGGCGAAGCGCTGCACCTCGTGAATCACCGCATCTGTATAAGGCATGGACGTGCGGTCCTCCAGCGATGGCAGCCTCGAGCGCCCCACCACGTTGTCAATCTCTTCCTGTACACGGGCTGCAGGGTAGAGGGGGAAGGTAGTGGAAAGTACCAGCAGGCGTGGCAGGGCTGGGAACCGATGTGCGCATGTGTACCGGAGGGGTCTAGTCAAAGCCTTCCTGAGCCGGGAGTTGGGGTGGGGGCGCTACTGGGGGGCGTGTAGGATTACCTAGAGCTTCCAAGGGAGGATAAAACATTGGTTGGTGCAAGGGTTCTTGAGGGTGGGGTTGTATAGGCGGGGCTTCAGGGATGCTTAGAGCCCAGGCCCCTGGTGGGATTTCGGGAGGGGCTTTGAGGACCCGGCTGGTTGGCTGTTGGGCTCCCAGGGCTAGGCTGTGAGGGGCTTCGAGGGTTGGAGATCGCGAGCAAAGCGGGGTACATCCAAAGGCCGGGCTTGGGGAGGTGGGATCAGACTGTGTGAGCGTTTGAGGTCCTGGGCTGGCCAAGTGGGAGGGGCTCGGGAGCCGGGCTCTGGGAGGACGGTGGGAGGGGCCCAGGTGTAGGATGCTTGCAGTGTGGACATCCGGATCCCCGCACGCGGTGTGGAACCTGGGGGCCGTGTGGAGGGGTTTGGCCTCTGTGTGGGTTTGGCTGGGCTACAGAGGGATTAGGTCAGACCCGCTGGGCGGACCGGGTCCGCTGGGCGGCGCTGTGTGGCCAGGTTTCCTGCGGGCGCACCTTGCACTTTTGGATATTTCATGAGTATGAGGAAGGCATGGCGAAGCGTGGTGCCCACCGTCTCCGTGCCGCCGAAGAGCAGGTTATGTGTAGTCATCAGTAGAGTGTCCATTTGGAAATGGCTCAGCGGGTCCTTATTCTCCTGCAGGGGGTTGAGGAGCGGGGATAGGAGCCAGGGCCAGGGGATCCCATCCTGACACTGACAGAGGCCTCCGAGCCTGGGCGACCGTGCCAGTTCAGTTCCTCCTCTGTTAACTGCCTTTCCGGGGATGCTGGGGAGCATGGAAGGGCGGGGTAGGGAAAATCTCAGCCTCAGGGCGCATTAACATCTCTGGATAGATTATTAATAACGTCTTAATGAGCTGTTAATTAGCGGTGGCTCTGGGCCCAGCGGGGCCAGGTGCTCCAGCCTCTCTTCTTGGAGAACGTTCCCCAGCGATGCCCAATGTGAGATCCCCGAGGTGTATGAGGCCAGGACAGCAGGAGGGCTTCAAGACAGACCAGAGGTAGAATTTCCGAGCCTGCATTACCTGTGACATCTTGGTGAGGAAACAGTCGATGAAGTCCCGGGGATTCTCCGGGTCTAGGGTGGCCTGGTGTTCGCGGACGCTGCAGGCGATGAGATCTTTCATGCCTCCGAAGTTCCGGAACACGCGCCAGTGCGGCCCAGGCACCCAGTCCAGGAGGCCCGGGAAGATGTTATACAGCTGGAGACCGGGAAGGGTTGGAGGGGCTTGAAGGAGCACGCAGGGTGTGTGTTTGGGGAAACTTGGTGGTGGTAAGATGAGTGGATCAAGTAGCAGGGAGGCTGCTTGAAGGGCTGCCCAGGTCTGAGGGGGGCGGCGGGGGCTGGAGGGGTGGGCGTGACCGCACAACTTGGGGCGGGGTCAGAAGGGAATGGGCGGGGCCAGTAGGACCGTGACCGCACAACTTGGGGCGGGGTCAGAAGGGAATGGGCGGGGCCAGTAGGACCTCTGTCTCTTTCCCACCGGTTGTTTGCTGTCTGTCCCTGGACCCTGTGGGCCCCGCACCCCATCTCCCGCTGAACTCAGTCTGCTGACCTCGCCCCAGGGGCTGCTCATGATTTTGAAGTTGTCGTTGATGAAGCGGATAATGGTAAGCAGACGCTCATCCTCGTAGTCGAAGCGACGGCCGAAGATCACGGAACAGATAATGTTGGATACCGAGCGGCTGACCACGAACACCGGGTCGAACGGCTTGCCTGAGGGGAGAGGCGGAATGCATCAGGGGTTCAGCTCTGCAGACACAATGCGCAACACACCGGACCACATGCAGCCTCAGCTCTAATTTGCACGGCGATGATCCAGCCTATAACTGGCAGCACAGAGTTCACACACACGACTTCCCAGCACTCAGCCTAACAACACCCTAAATGTGTTTTGCAATGTAACAGACAGCACAGAACCCACAGCATCCTGAAGTACATCAACAAGACTAAACAACAAGGCAACAGAACAGGCTTTGTGTGTGTGTGAGATGTTTTTTTTTTGTTTGTGTTTGAGATAGGGTCTTGCGAACTAGTGGCTGGGGCTGGCATCGAACCATAATCCTCCTGATCTCTGTCTGCCTCCTGAATAGTTAGGATTACATAGTGAGCCACCAGTGCCTGGCTAGAACGGGTTTTTCTTGATGTCACGCTACACCACACCAGACACAACACATCAGGTGTCATAGAACACAGACAACATATGTCAACAACACACACACAGTAAATACAATCATAGCATCTGCCCCACAATTACACACAGTGACCTAATGGCCAACCTGGAAACATTCCAAGACATGGCAGTGACACCCTGACACATGAAACCAGCATCCAGCTTCTGTAACACTATGTACAATAATACACAGCAACTCAGCAGACAGTGTGAACACACTACGTGACATCACAACACTACAACTAAGCAGCAGAAGAGGTGACATACAATGCACAGCCACAGACATTGGGAGTACAGCAGACCACACCATGCAATACCACATGTACTGCTTAATAACACTACAACTGTACCCAGAAACAGCTCACAGAAGCACAATATGTAAGCTCCAATAATCCAACAGCCAAGCAGACCACAGAAAACAATAAAGAACATATTTCAACACAGCAGCCCAGACATAATAGCATAGCCCAGAAGACCTGGCTGGAGTTAAAATAGACTTAATTTGGATCCTAACTTGGCCTCTTGGTCTCCATGGGACCTGTGCCAACTGAGCCTCAGTTTTCTTGACTGTAAAATGGGCTTAATGGGAGTCCCTTCTTCATGGTGCTGTTATAGTCAGTGAGTGTGTGACTGGGAAGGCCTCAGCTAAGGCTTGACCCATTATGAGGCTCTCACAAACCACAGTGAATAATGCCTTTTCTCTCCCAAAAAAGAGGTCTATGTCCCCTATCCCTAGAACTTGTGAATAGAAGCTTACCTTACATGGTAAAAGGAACTTTGCAGATGTAAGTTAAAAATTTTGTAGCCAGGAGCCAGTGGCTCACGCCTGTAATCCTAGCTACTCAGGGGGCAGAGATCAGGAAGATTGCCACTCAAAGCCAGCCTGGGCAAATAATTCATGAGACCCTATCTCAAAAAAACCCAATACAAACCAGGGCTGGTGGAGTGGCTCAAGTGGTAGAGTGTCTGTTTAGCAAGTGTGAGGTTCTGAGTGGCTCAAGTGGTAGAGTGTCTGTCTAGCAAGTGTGAGGTTCTGAGTTCAAACTCCAATGCTGCCAAAATAACAAACAGAAAAAGAATTTTGTGATGAGATGGTTACTTTGGATTACCCAGGTGGGCCCAATGTGATCACGAGGGTCCTAATAAGAGGGAGGTAGGTGTGTGTACATGAGTTAAGATAATGTAGTGGTGGAAGACTTGAGAGAGAGAGAGAGAGAGAGAGAGAGAGAGAGAAAGAGAGAGAGAGAGAGGAGAGACTGATTGGAAGATGCTGTCTTTCTGGCTTTGAACACAGAGAAAGGGGCCACAAGTCAAATAACGTAGGCAACCTCCAGAAACTAGAAAAAGAAAGGACAGGAATTCTTCCCCAGAAGGAATCCCCCTGGAGGAATGCAGCCCTGCTGACCTGCTTTTAACTTCTGACCTATAGAACTATAAGGGAATGAATCTGTTTTGTTTTGTTTTTTTTTTGGGTGGTACTGGGTTTAAATTCAGTGCCTCATGCTTACTAGGCAGGCGGTTTACCACTTGAACCACTCCACCAGCCCACTATGTTGTTTTAAGCCACTATGTTTGTGGCAATTTGTTACAACAGCAATAAGAAGCCATCACAGATAGCTGTTATGATTTCTCTTACATCATGTCACTTAATCTCTTCAGTGTCTTCTACCACACCATCATCATTATTACTGCTGCTGTTATTTTTGCCAGCAAGGGTTGGAGAACAGGGGAGAGCTGTTTAGCATTCTGTGTTTCTATAAAATGGGGCTGATCTTTTCCTAGGTTTGAGTCATTTTTCTAAGAGATAACTATACACAAAATTCTTAGAACAGTGGTGGCATATGTAAGTGCTAGTTATTTATTTTGTTTGGTTTTTTCATGGTGCTGGAGATGCAGTCTGGGGCCCTGGGCATGCTAGGCAAGTGCTCTATCACTGAGCTGTGTCCCAGCTCTGCCTTGGTTAATTTTTTCATGGGTCAGAAGCTTTGCCCTTGGTTTCTAGCTGAGTTCTGCCACTTTCTGGGCATGTGGCTTTCAACTTTCTGAGCCTCAGCTTCCTGACCTGGAATAACATTGGCTCTCTAGGGCTACTAGAGGTTGAAATTAACTCTTCCATGTAAAAATTTCAGCTTAGTGCCAGAGCAAGCACTGCATTAGTGTGTTGAATATGAATTTGGATGTCAGATAGAGTTTTAAGTCCTGGCTCCACTTATTAGTTCTGTTACTTCAAGCTAGTGTGTTAACTTTCTTGTCTCCATGTCCTCATTCCCAAAATGGATTGTTCTGAAGCTTACAGGGCTTATGTGTGAAAATGCATTTAGCCCAGGGCTCTATCAGTGGTAAGTTCTTAAGAATGTCACCACCACCACCACCACAATCATCATCTACCATGATTATACACGTTGGGCTCAGAATAGCACAGAGAGACAGACAAGGAAGGAAACAGAGCTGTCATCATAGATAAGGAGAGGCAGTGCCAGTCCCATTGCAGGTCAAGTGAGTGGCTTCCAGGAGGTTTGTGTTCACACCCATGCTATGGTACCCATTTGCCCTTCCCACTAAGTAGGGTGAATGTGAATTGTGGGTGCAGCTGTGTTCAGGGATCCCAACCTTCTGTTTTCCGCAGTTGCTCCAGCAGGAAGCTGCCTTCTTCCTGGATCCGCTCCTCAATGCTCCTCTTTCCCATGCCAAAGTTCCGTAGTATCTGGATAGCAAACCTTCTGAGGACCTTCCATCGTTCCCCATTGGAGAAGGCGATGCCTGGGGACAAGAGGAGTGGCCAGCTTAATCAACAACTCCTCCAGAAAAATTCCTCTCAATGCCAGTGCCACCCAAGTCCCCTTTCCTGATGTTTGCTGAGAGGGAGACTAAGTTTGGAAACTCTTCTGTTCCTTTCAGCAAGCTGTCCCTGACCCTCTCGGCTGGGTCACTCTCCTTTGAGCTTCCATAGGACCCTGGGCTTTCCTCACCCTAGTCCTGATCACCTGCCTTTGTTTCCCCTTTTAAGCTGTAACTGGTCATTTTAAGCTGCAACTGTCTGGTGATGAGGCTATTAGGAAGGTAGGGTAAGAGCCTGTATTGGTCACCACTGGTTGGCATTGCCCAGTGCAGACCTTGTCAGAGAGGCCTTGATGGTGACTGATTATTGGTGATCGAATGCACAAATAAGAGAGATAAGCAAGAAAAATAAATCTTGAGAACTCATTCCAAAACAAGACTGGACTCTGGGCCTTTGAATAGTCCTTCCAAGTCCTCTGGTTTGTCTTCCTATAATACTCTTTATTCCCTGGCCTTCTCCTGACTAGTCATTTTCATTATCCACATCTCACTTTGGAGGTACCCTCCTCCAGGAAGCCTTCCATGGTCCTCCCTCCCTGACTGGGCACTTCCTTTGGACTTTCATATTTCCTAGGCTCCCTCTATCCTACCACTAAGATGTCACAGGCTCATGATGGCTTGCGTTTTCCACTGGACTAGGACCCATAGGATGAAGTTGTGGATTTTTTTTTTTTTTTTAGCAAATCTCTGATTCCTTTGGACATAGCAGAGAACTAGATGTTAAGAAGAAGAAAAACTATAGTACAGTGCCTTGCATTGTATGTATTACCTCACTGACTCTTAGTAACAGTCTGAGAGTCAGGGAGGGGAGACCACTTGCCCAAGAGTACACAGCTAGTAAGTGGTAGAATCTTCTTTTACTCTCTGTGCTCCACTAATTGGTTGGTGGTTATGTGTTGGTAACAAATGTTAGCTGTATCCAGATGTTTTCTCTGTAAAAGTAGTGAGGTGATATCTGGGAGCAGGTGGCTCAAGCCTGTAATTCTAGCTACTCAGGAGGTAGAGATCAGGAGGATTGAGGTTCGAAGCCAGTCCAGCCAAATAGTTCTCCAGACCCTCATCTCAAAAAAACCCATCACAAAAAAGGGCTGGTGGAGTGGCTTGAGGTGTAGGCCCTAAATTCAAACTCCAGTACCACACATACAAAAAAGTAGCAAGTGCCCTGTCTCTACCTCCTTGCGTCTTGTGTACCTGGATAGGTGAAGTTGTAAGATCAAACCCAGGAAAGGGGACATAAAGAGTGGAAAGTGAGCTGGGCAACAGTGGCTCATGTCTGTAATCCTAGCTACTTGGGAGCTTGAGATCAGGAGGATTGTGATTCAAGACCAGCCCAGGCAAATAGTTTGTGAGACCAAAATACCCAGAGTAAAATGGACTGGAGGTGTGGCTCAAGTGGTAGAACGCCTGCTTTGCAATTGTGAAGCCCTGAGTCCAAAGAAAAAAAATAAACAAAGAAAAAAAAATAAACAGTGGAAAGTGTACTTAATACACAATAGGTGGCATTTTATCAGAGATCGCTGATTACAAATCTGGGAACAGCTGGGATCTATCCAGTGAAGGGTTCATGGGGATCCCTGAGCATTCTGTAGGGGGAATACAGTTCAGAATGCAGGTTCTCAGGACCCCGCTTTTCAAGCAGAGAAGCTGTTTTGGATCATTTATTAGGCCGCATCACATAGTTTTTCTTTGAGTAAGAGATCCTATTATTTGCAAGTAAATGATGGAACTGGAGAATATCATTCTAAGCGAGGTCAGCCAGGCTCAGAAGACCAAAAATCATATGCTCTTCCTCATATGCGGACTTTAGATCTAGGGCAAATACAGAAATGTGGTTGGACTTGGGTCACATGATAAGGGGCGAGCACACACAGGAGGTATGGGGATAGGTAAGAAACCCAAAACATGGTAGTATTTGATGTCCCCACTGCAGAGGAACTAATACAGAAACCTTCACTCGACAGAGGTCAGTATGAGAAGGGGATCGAGAACTAGTGAAAAGGTCAGTTAGAGATGAATCAAATTAGAATGTAACACATTTGTACATGGAAGCAATGCTAGGAATCTCTCTGTATAGCTATCCTTATCTCAACTAGCAAAAGCGCTTTGTCTTTCTTATTATGCTTATTTTTTCTCTTCAACAAAATTAGAGATAATGGCAGAACAGACTCTGCCTGGAAGCAAGGGGGGGGGGGAGAGAAGAAGGGGGTAGGGGGTAGGGGGGAGAAGTGGCCCAAACAATGTATGCACATATGAATAAACAAATTAAAAAAAAAAGAAAAAAGAAAAAAAAAAAGATCTGTGTTTAAAAAAGAGTTTGAAAACCAAAAGTCCCCAAGCCTAAAGAGAACAGGAGAGGTTTGGGGAGAATGATGTGGGTTGCTGGATGGATGGGAATGGAGTTAGACTTGAGTTGGATGAAGATGACAATGGGGTGTTGTGAGGGGAGCTTAAGACATTGATGAAAAATTGGTTTTGAGGCTGGTGGTAGGGATGGAGTTGGGTTGAATGAAAAGGACTGGTAGATTGGGCATGAACTTGCACTTGGGACTGGTTTTGGTGATGGTAGTGGGATTAGGTTGAAAATGGGGATTGGTCTGGAAACTTTAATAGGTGATTAGGATAGAAGATGAGGCTGGGGCCGGAGAGATAAATGACAGCAGAGTTCAGTTTGATTAGAGGGATTAGCATGGGATTGATAATAGAGTAAAAAAATGGGCATTGGGAGAGGGTTCATAGTGGTAGGTTGGAGTGAGATGTAGGTAGTATTGTGGGTAGGAATTTAGTTGAGGTTAATATGGGGACTATGGATGGAGGTAGGGTTACTGGGGATTGGGGTTAGGCTGAGGTGGATAATGGGGATGGGAGCCAGTTGATTGAGTTGGAAATTAGATGATGTGGTTGGGATAGAGGTAGGGATTTGGCATGAGATAGAGGCTGGAGTTGGATGGAGATGGGAATCAGTATGGAGGTGTAATTCAAGGTGCTTGTGGAATTTTAAGGTGGGGAAAGTGAGATTAACTTCATCCTAGGTTAGGATTGCCTGGTTACATCTCATCTGGTGTGTCCAGTGACATCAGTGCCCCTGAGTATTACCAAGGTTAGGATGTCAGCTTCCTACCCTCATTTCGCCCTGCAAACAGAAAAGATTGGAGGGTGGAGGAGATGGGGGGAGCAGGCTTACCATTGCCCTTAGTAAAGTTGATAAAGACAGGGTATTCACCACGGCCACTGAACTCCTCCCCCTGGTCCACAAGGGCTTCCTTCACGGCTTGATATCCGCTGAGGACCACCACTCGCCTGGGCCCCAGGTACACTGTGTACACTGGGCCATACTCCTTGCTCAGCTGTGAGTAGAAGACAGAGGTTACAGGGGGCTCTGGAGCCATGGAACCCCTGCCCTTCCCCATCTCTCTTCCTTCCCCCTCTCCCTTCACCCAAGGTGAAGCCCTTGCACCTTGGTAAGGGCGGTCAGCAAGTCTTGGGAACGAAGCTGCAGCAGATTTCCCAGGATTGGGATGGGTCTGGGTCCCGGTGGCAGCTGGCTCTTGTCCCAAAAGCTGAAGGTCAGGAACAGAGAGATGATAGCACAGAGCAGGAGCAAGACAGCTGTAGTAATGCTGTCCATGGTGAATGCAGCTTCAGGGTCTGGAGGGCAAAGTGAGAGAGGGCAGAGCTGAGAAAGTGGGACCCCTCCACTCTGCATCTCTTGGAAGCTTCCTTCCTCAGGTCCTGCAATGGGAGCAGGTACAGAGAAGAAAGGAGGTAGAGACCAAAGGATAAGGAGGGAGGGAGGAAGGGAGAAAGAAAGTGGAGGAGGAAGGGTGTGGGGACACAAAACAGATGCAGAGATAGTCAAAATACAGCCAGACAATGAGAGAGACAGAAACAGAGAGAGACAGGGATGAAGACAAGAGATATGGAGACAAAGAGAGACAGAGATACAGAGGGATACGGATCTTTGTATCTGTCTATGTATCTATGTATCTCTATCACATATCATTAATCATCTATCATCCACCTATCAATTGTCTGTATATCTCTCATCTATCTGTTGAGATACAAACTCACACAGAGGCAGTTATAAGAGAGATAGAGACATACAAGGACAGAGACAGATGAATCAAGACATAAGGAGAGAGAGCCAGACAGAGAGGAAATCACAGAGAGAGAGACATAGAGAAAGAAATTCAGAATTAAGGATTCATAGAGCTAGAGAAAGACAGATGAGAGCTGGAGATGAAGAAACGGAAATATACATTTACTAAAAAATGAGATAGAGCCAGGCCTGGTGGCTCACACCTATAATCCCAGTTACTTGGGAGGCTGGGGCAGAAAGATGGAGAGTTTTGAGGCCAGCTTGGGCTACATATTGATACCCTGTCACAAAAGAACAACAACAAAATAAACAGAGGTGAACACTGCAAGATAGGGACAAAGATCACAGAGAGAGAGAGAGAGAGAGAGAGAGAGAGAGAGAGAGAGAGAGAGAAGGAAGGAAGGAAAGGAAGGAAGGAAGGAAGAACGAAAGAGAGTGAGGGAGATGGGATCCACGACCTCTCTCTTAGGAACCACCCTTCTTCCTCTGTGTCCCACACCCTGGGCAGCTGAGGGATGTTCTGGAGCTCTAGGTATGCTTGAGGGGTGGCAGCTGCTCTTAAGTTGTCTTTGTCCACACCCCTCCTTTGCCCTACCCCTCGTCCCCTGTTCTCCTAGTAAGTTTAATCTCCTCCCACCTTCCCACCATACCTTTCGTGCAGACCCTGGGCTCGCAGCCAGCTGAAATGGTGCTGTAGGTGGGGGCCTCAAGAACCTTCCTTTACCTGTCCCGGGGGCCCTCTGGCTTGCAGGCTGACTTCAGCCGTCATTGCTGTGGTTGGTGCTAGGTTGTTTGCCCTGGAGCAGGGCACAGGCTCCTCCTCTGGGCTTGGTTCTGGAAGAGAGAGTGGGGTTGTGCAGCTTTGGTCAAAAAATGGGTCAGCAATGGATTGAGGTAGATCCTGAACTGAATTGAGTCCCTTTGGCCTTGTGGACACTTTGTTCTATTTCTCTGGATTCAAATCTGGTCTGCCAAGGACATGAGACCTTGGGAAAACCCTTTTCCCTCCCTGCCTGTTTTTCATAGCTCTCCTTGTAGCTCTCCATGACTAATGGCTTGTCTCTGAAATTCTCTACAAATTTCACTTTGCTCCTGTCTCTACTGAGTCTATTTCTCTCTCTCCATGTCTCTCTGTTCTCTCTCCCTCTCCCTTGGTGTCTCTAGGTTTGTCTTTCATTCTCTCTGTGCCTCTGTGTCTTTGAGTGTTTGGCTTTCTTTCTCTTTTTCCCACTCTATCTCACAGTAAACCCTTCATGGTCATTGTCTTTTTTTTGGGGTACTGGGGTTTGAACTCAGGGCTTTGCATTTGCTAAGCAAGTGCTCTACCACTTGAACCATGTGCCCAGCCTCATGGTCACTGTCTGCTCCCACCCTTCCCTCTTATGCTTCCATGATGACAGTGCAGTGGTCTAAGGTTGAAGGAGAGTTAAGGGGAAGAGCAGGACTATTAGAATACAGAGAAAAATTGAGACGCAAATGAGCTTCCCCCAAACTCCTGTAGGATCCTTTTCCTGTCCTGCTATTGTACCTCTCCCCCAGCATGTCTGTTCTTGGCTCTTGTCTTGGAAATTGGTCCTAGTTACCCAACTCCTGACCAGAAGGGCAGAGTGTCAAAACTAGAGCTGGCCTAGTGTAGGACACAGAGCCCTGAGGACAAGGGTCTGGGAGACCCAGAGTTGGTGTGGGCACCCCCACAGGCCTGTTTGCTGACCTTTTGGAGGCGGGGGAGGAAGTGCTTGGAAGTCCTGGGGAATTTGACACCTCAGGTCCCCCTGCACATGGTGAGGTGGAGGGTGGGGCAATGCTGTTATTTTAGTTCTGGAAAGTCCGGTTAGGGCAGGTCCTGGGAGAGGGGTGCACTTCTGATTATAGGATTACATGCTTCTGAGTTTCCCATGGCATCAATCCTTACTCTGGGAGAGGGTGCAGTACTGGATTTATTCCAACCCTGTAAGCAACTTTTCCCTGATCCCAGAACTGGGTTGTGTGGCGCCTTATTTGGGGAGTCCTGGATTCATGGGAAGGGGTTTTGAGTGTGTTTTCCTGTTACAGAGGGAACTTGGGGCCACATAGGGATATATGGTTGTTTCTCAACTTGACACCATTGATTTGGCACTGATGATTCATGCCTGGTTTTTAGATGCCAGTAGCCATTTCACCATCCTTGCAGAAAGTTGTGACACCAAAAATGGCTCCAGTCATTATTAAATGTCCCTTGGGTGGGGGAGGGGAATCAACTCTAGTTGAGAATTACTGATGTAATGGGAGAATGTAAAACATACCCAAGGGTGGCTGACCAGCTCACCTCGAATCAGCCTCTCTTGAACTCTACAACTTGTACCTTTTTTCTTCCCACCTCACTCTTTAATTTTTTTGTGGCACTAGGCTTTGAACTCAGGGCTTCACGCTTGCTAGGCAGACGGCTACTACTTGAGCCATCCTGCCAGCCCTTTTTTGTGTTGGGTATTTTCAAGATAGGGTCTCAAAAACTGTTAGCCCAGGCATGCTGGCTTTGAACTGCAATCCTCTCTCTTGATCTCTCCTACCAAGTATGTAGGATTATAGGTGTGAGCCACTGGTGCCCAGCCCCACCTCAGTGTTTGTTGATGGTCCCATTTCTTATCTCACAGAGAGAACAGCAGCCATCAAAAAGAGAGCTGGCTCATCCTCTGCCATGTTGTTGGCTCACCTGCTCCAGGCAATAAGATACCTGTCTGGGCTCCTGGCTGAGCTGAGCCCGTCCCTCCTATGTCACATCTAACCCCATCACTAACTGGAGGACTTTCTTCTGACTATGTCATGTTTTGTCTACGTGTGTGTAAATGCATTTATTTTCTATGTATAATTTTTTGAGATAAAATTTACATATGATGAAATACATAAGTCCTAAGCAAATACTTCCTGATGGTTTTTTTTTTTTGAGTGGGACTGGAGTTTGTATTCAGAGCTGTGAGCTCACAAAACAGACACTACTGTTTAAACTATACCTCCAGTTCATTTTACTCTGGTTATTTTGGAGATGCTATTTGCCTGGGCTGGCCTTGAACTGTGATCCTCCTGATCTCAGTCTCTCAAGATGCTTGAATTACAGATGTGAACCACCAGCACCTAGCCTTCCTGAATTTTTAATGCATATCCCTGGGAAGTCCAAATTCCTATAAAGACATAGAATATTTTCATCAGTCCAGAACATTTTCTTATATTCCTTCCCAGGTAACTATGTTCCACCCCCACAGGCAACTGCTACCATACAAGCTCCTTCATCCCTTTCTTCCTTCTGGTAGTACTGGGGTTTGAATTTAATACTTCATTCTTGCTAGGCAGGAACTCTATCACTTGAGCCATGCTGCCAGCTTTCTTTTTTTGCTTCAGGTAGATTTTAGATAGGGTCTCCATTTTTGCTTGGGACAGTCTCCAAAAGCGCTCCTCCTATCTACACCTTCTTAATATCTGGGATTATAGATGTGAGGCACTGCACCCAGAGAAACTGCTGTAGTTTTTTAAAACAATTTTTTGTTAGTATAAATTAATTGCCCAAAGGAATTTCATTATGATTTTTGTGTATATGCATATGATATACTTTGATCAAACTCACTCCATTTATATTACTATTTCTTAACTACCCCCTCCTTTTAAATTAATTTTAGTGGGCTTCATTGTGCTATTTTCATACACACATACACTGTACTTCTATCATATTCACTCCATTACCCTTTCCTTTCCACCTCCATGTCCCACCAGTCCCCCCTCGATAGTCCCCCTTTTACAATCATGTCATCATTAATTTTTTTTAGGTCTAGATTCTACATGAGTGAAAACATGCAAACATTTGTCTTTCTGAGCTTGGTTTAACATGATGTTCTCCAGTTCCATCCATTTTTCTGCAAACAATCTAATTTAATTCTTCTTTATTACTGAATAATACTCCATTGTGTATATGTACCACATTTTCTTTATCCAGTCATTTTTTGCTGGGCATCTAGGCTGATTCTGTAGCTAGGCTACTGCAAATTGTGCTGCTATAAACTCAAGTGTGCAGGTGTCTCTATTTTATGTTGACTTACATTCCTTTGGATATATGACTGAGAGAGGTGTAGCAACTAGTCTAGTTTTGAAGGTTCTGCAATGGCCCATGTATTGAAGGGTCAGTCTCTAGCCTGTGGTGCTGCTGGGAGGTGATAGAACCTTTAGGAAGTGGGAAGTTAGGTCATTGGGGGCATGCCCTTGAAAGGATATTAGGATCCTGGTCCCTCCTCTTTCTCTCTCTTTGCTTCCTGGTCACTTCAAGGTGAACGTCTTCCTCCATCGCATGGGAGCATCATGGGCCTTTCCACAGCCCAAGAGCAATGGGGCCAACTGACCACTCACTGAAACTTCCAACACTCTGAACTAAAATAAACCTTCCCTTTTTTTAAGTTGATCATCTCAGATATTTTGTTACAGTAATAGAAAGCTGGCTCACTCAGCAACTAACAATTGTTCTAGCTTTTTCTTCTCAGTGTTAGTCAATATTTCATATAAATGAAATC